ACACCGCGGGTTGTGCATTCATTATTTTAGGTGAATTGAGTTTCTTTGTATTGAGAAATTAAATTTGTGTTGGATTTAATTTCGAAACTCCCGTTTGTGAGAAAAATTATAATTTCTGTTCACAATCAGATTTTTCTAGAAGCTTTGAAATGAATTTGGCCCCATTTTCTTTCATTACGATTTTAATAAAATATATATCGTTTTATAGAACGGCTTTCATCTTATAAATTCAATTTACATGAACGATGAGAGTAATACGTATAGTTAACAATTATTAACTCGATATCTTGTGATAAAAGCAATTTGGGAATTCTAAGTCCAAATGGGATCTCTAATACCGCATCCTGGATGTACGTCCATTTTTATGTAGTAATCCGCTAAGACCGATAAGTTCACGTTCAAATTGTTCGTTAATCAAGGATTAGGCACGGTTTGGATGTAAAATTAATGATATAATACACGGAAGATGTAATGATTTATGTTACAACAAATCACGTATTTCCGATTGACCATTCACGTCAATTTCCTTCGCTTTGCAGCCGAAAGAATTAGAGGGGAGGGCTAGGGGCTAGTAAATTTTTGCATGCTATAGTAAATCAAGTAAAATTCTGGTATTCTTCGGGATCCCCAGGTGAATACAATAAAAAAATTAGTAAATTACATAAAGGCACAGATTTTTTGTCATGTAGGTAATGTCAAACTATCATGGATTGGATCTAGTCAGACCTTTCATCCTGTATAATCAATTGTAACATAAACTAATAAGGGGGATAAAAGTTGTTTTAAGCTTTTTTAAGGGCCCTTAAAACTAAGATGCCTTAAATCAAATTTCGCAGAAGGCCATGCAGTATTATGGTTCACGCTTTTTTTATTGTATTAGATTTAATCTTTTGTTTTCACACACTGAAAATTGACGCTATGATTCAAAGATAAAAGAATTTTCGGTTACAACATTATCCACTTCTCGGCAATCGCTCCAGTCCCCGTGAACCCTAATTTAATTTCCTAGCTTGAAGAGTATTCCTTTTCTCTTCCAGACTTTGACATACATCTTAACGGTTTTTTTTGTCGAACTTATTTGTTTCCTTTCTGACGCGCACAGTTATAATTTGTTACCTTCGAAATACCACTCTTGGACATATTCGGGGGATGTAAACTAAGCAAAACCTACATTCTGAGTGACGGTAAAATATGGAGTGGTTTATACATCATTCGTGTTTTGTATCACATTTACTTCTAGTGGTACTTAGGTCTATGTAGTTTCCGATTTTAAACTAAATAAGCTACATTTCCAAGGATCGACTATACATGTTATTCTATTAAACTCAGAGGATTAAATTTCCTGGCGCTCGAATTTCATAGGTTTTACCCCAGAGCATATTCTCAATTTCAATTTCCTCTAGAAATAAATGTATAAAGTATAAGTTTGTATTGTTATATGAAACTCGTCAGTGTCACTTATTAGCTATCAAGTAGACCAGTGCAAATAAGATTCCCTTATCGTGATCGGTTAAAGTTCCTCATATCTCAAGAGCGGAGTATCGGAGGAGGTGCTCACAAAGGGCGTTTGGAACGTCTATTAATTTAGAGGACATCAAGTACCATATGATCCAGAATAGGCGAGTTACGCGCTACTTAAAATGTTTGGTTTTTTTTTTGCTTTGAATATTGCCGATCTTGGTTTTTTTGCAAGCAATGCATGGCCACCTATATATTAACTATATTTTCCGAAATCACCGGCTCACCACTGTCCTCAGTTATTTTGGATCACCCAGTAAGTCTAAAAATTTGCGCTTTCTCTTTATTTTACATTTACATATCATACATAGGGAAGAATGACACTAACAGCATTACAGCAGTTCCACCACTCATTTCTTTACTTAAACACCGTGTCCAAGATAAGGATGTATATCATGGGGATCTCCTAAACCATAGAATATACGACGATATTCAAATTAGGGAAAGTTTTGCAATTAAAGAGTTATTATTAAAATCAAAAACGATTACTTCCGAAGATATGGCAGCAAAACCAAAACAACCGAAATATAAACGTTGGAAAGTGTTGGTTTCAAGAGTATGGTCATATGGTGTACCCGCGCACAACGCTCAAATGCTACTTCATCCAGTATGTAATGTACCTACTTTTTTTCCGGCCATATCAAAAAATAAAGTTGATAATGATTTCTCCGAAACGAAACGAAACGTTGTATTGAAAATCTCTAAACACTGTCTTGTAGAGCTCAAATAGTGGCAATGAAAAAGTGTTTTTTTATAATCATGTCGAATGTCCCACGTGCTTAAAAACATCGTAATTAAATTTGGTCGGTTCTCGTCAAATTGTTTTGCTGAAAAGAACTACTTCTTGTCAGTTTTCGATCTAAAATCTCCATTCAGGATTTTGCTTGTGAGCAAAGTGTCTCCCCGTATTTCTAAGCAAAACATTTGACGAAAACGTAAAAATTTGATCGGCTATTTTTAATCATTCAGGACTGTAGCTGACCCTTACAGCCTTTTGAAAGCCCCCAAAGGCTTATCAAGGCTTTAAAATACAATCTTACCGATTAGAGAGACTATAGGAGATTTGAAGACCTTTACAAATGCTTAAAAGTTCAGGTTCAACCCTTAGAAGTTTGAAGGCATTGAACGATTTTAAAGACACTGTATAAGGCTCTTAACAGCTCCTAAAAGGACACTAAAACACAGAATGCTGGTCGGTATCTTAAAAACCATTATTCAGTATCCAGTATTCAGGTTATTTAAAGGGCCTTAAGGACCTTTAAGTATTGTAATTTAATTATAGTCTATTATAAACAAAATATTTTATATTAGATTAATATTATGATTAAATTTCAATATATACATTTCAAGATGGCTTTCAATGAGTTTTTAATAGGTGATTAATTTAAAACACTTTTCCTTGCTCATTCTTAATCTAAAAGTCATATTATAACTTCATTACCATTTACAGATGTATAAATCATTTTCTATCAAGTCAGAAGTTGGCGTTTAATAGTCGAAACTAGTCGCTAATAATCGCATTAATAAATGGCAAGTATAGGGAAGAGGGAAGATTTGGTGTTGTTATTGATTCGTCTATAAGTTGCTAAAGGACTATAGATAGAGGTCATTAATAGCTCATAGAGAGAAAGCATCCAATCAAAGCTCTTAAATACCCTTAAAAACCGATAAAGCATCTTAAAAGTGCTTAAGCGTTTTCTTAAAGACCTATACAATGTCTAGAGTGCTGATAAAGGCGTTTAAATTAATCCCTTTAGCTGGTCTGAGAAACTCCTATTAATAATCATCCCTGTGATGTATCAAAACGTTAAACTTAACGTGCAGGTCATCTGTCAGAAAACGTTATTTTTTAGTCGATAGTCGGAAAAATGGCATATTATTGTTTTGTTTATGTCATCACAAAGCAGGTGATTTCTGCATTCCCGTACAGTACGGGAAAATATCTATATTCTTGTGAGCATGAAAAAGTAAATGAACAGTGTTATACACACAAATGCATAGTTTAATTAGAAACATTGTTTAACTGATATGATCCGTTACCAGGATTATTAACACTCCGTCAATATTTGGAAGTATATACATATCATATTTAAGAAAACATAAAGTTTTATCTTTAAATACAGTTCAATCATCCGTTAAATAGAATCGAAAGAGATCCATCCATTACTTTATTTCGATGAATATCGGTATAAATAAGGTATGGCAAATTATTTACTGACATTATGACTTTGCTCCAGTTCCACGATGACTTTTCACACAGAATGTCTTCAGGTAAATGTAAGCTCTCAGCTTTAAAGCGAATTTACGACTATCAATGCACAAATACACTCCAGCAGTACCGTGCATGTAATGGGACGTAGGCGGTATCTTTTTACTTGCACAAAGTAGTTTGGCAGAACAAGGTTAGCGTGGAATCGATCATCAATAAATATCTGCACATGTACGAAACAATTACGCAGTCAAAAGTTGTATCGTTTCTTTATGGGCCACCAGATACTGAACATTCTCTGACTTCGACAACAGCAACAGTTAACTCAATAAAAACAACGGAGGATATTCACATCAGAACACCCTGGGGCATTTTTTCCATGACTATTTTCGATTGCAGATTAAACATCAAAATAAAATGTAGAAATGAATATGTTGATTCTGATGTGTGTTTCCACTAAATTTCGTCTTTCTCGGAACAGACAAAGGTTGTAGCTTGTAGATACTTTGTATTACTTTTAACTTTCTTTGATAGGAGGTGCAGTTTCGTTGGAAATCGCGAAAAACCATTTTCCATCTCCAACAGCTGATCCCATTTTAACCCTCCTCCATTCGGATCGGCTTTTATTTATTTTTCCTATTATCGACACAATAATAATATTACCTTTCCTTTTTAATATTCTCATGCGTTTACTAATTTTTCTCAACATCTTCTAGTAATTTATTTTCGGTTTGTAACAGTTTCTTGGCCCATATCCATTATCCATATCCGTTATCAAGTATTTAAGATTAAACTTAATAATGATTGCATCGAACCATTGGATATCTTGCAGCATGTTTTAGGGAGACAGAACTTTTTTCCGGATTATCAAGTTGTCATACCTTTATGCAGAAAATATGAAACGTGCACCAAGTTTTCAATTGTTTAAACTTTTAAAGTGAAAAATTAATGTAGTTATTATAATTTGGGCGTATAAATTCTGTTGCTTGACGTACAGAACAAGACGTCGCGCTGTCTAATTTCTCTTGGGTTACAAATCACGGAAGATTTATCGTTGTAGTTCTGAATACCGTCTTCGCTGCCTATCCGCCCCTTCTTTACAAAATTTATTATCTGCTATCAATTGTAACGTTCGACCCGCGTATACGGAAACAAATAACTTTATACACCAATCGTTAGGTTACTAGGTGGAAAAACACATTAATTGTAATGGTCACGCAATTACATCATTTGAACTGGCTGGCCCGAATGTAATTACATTAATTAAACTCACCTTCACTTGGTCTTGCTCCCCCGCGTACTCTATGCTCTGAAAAATCGTCCAAGTATAGCGGCGACGAACCTCCATTCTTGCAAGATATCGCCTGTACCATCTTTGAATTAGAATGGCAGCCTTCATAGCTGAAAGGAATGAAAAGTTTAGATTGGACAGGAACGTTATTGTGAAATTGATAAGCTACCTATAAGGTAGGCATTGTTATAGTAGCTTGTTTCGCATAAAGGCTTGTGTGTGGTGTCCCTCAGGATCTGAGCGAATTATTTATTGATGGTCGATAAAGTATATTTTAATCAAATATTATATACCACATTCTTGATAGTTTCAACTTTAGGTGGAAGCAAGTACTTAACCCTAAACAAATCTGTTTGAGCTTTTATGGCCGTTGATGTATGATATCGATGGTAATGTAGGTTTCATTGCGAGTATTGATTTGCAATATTCACTGCATGCGGAAATCCGAGTTTAAGTCACCGTGTATATCGGAATCAGCTACTCTATACTTTCAATTTGCAGGAAAACCGTCGAGCAGCGCAGGATTACTTTCTTTAGCTTATTCGCAACGCCTGTTATTCATTAAAAGCAAACTTGAATTAAATTTGGTATGAACTTCCCAACGTAAGCGTTATGTAAAGATTGCTCGGTTCATTTCACCATTTGCTTTCAATTTTCGACAGATTAGGTGGAAACGTTTAGCTATCTGACTGTTACGGCTGATAAATTACAAGTTGTCTGAGGCAACTTACACCAAATTCATGTTTGGGGAATCGCTATCAAATGTCTTGATCTCTTTGCATCGTAGTCACCCTACAACCTACCAAAAAATCATAATATTTTCACTAACATGCATTATTTATTCCAATGTAAAATACACATTTTGTGCTCTGAACCGTGTCATGGATGACGATGAGGACGAAGTGTGTAGCAATACCCTTGAATTTATAACTAAATTCAATGCCAATACTACATAACTACCGGCACAGTTACTTATACTACTTTAAATTAGTAAAGGGATACTCAAGGTAATACCCAAAACGACTACGCAAACAATAAACATATCGTACAACTCTCTACATTGTGATTGTGGCAATTTCAGCGGTTTTGTGTAGATAGTCAAGGATTCAATGTTTCAAGGGTGCCCAGATTGGTGGAATTTTACCCATCTTCAGGGTTTGTAATTAGAGCTACGATTACACGCAATAAAAATTTTATAGTCGTATGCAATAAACAAACATGGAAGGTTTCAGTCCCGAATATTAAAAAATGATGAACAGGTTTTCGTTTCTAATGGAACTTCATTGTCGTCCTATAATAATTTATTTATAGGATCAAAGTAGCAGCATTAAAAATTTGACAATGCGCTTAGAGCGTGTCTTGTCAATCCTAGGCAGGGTTTTATGGCTTACCATTCTCGACATCCGTCTTATTCTAACAGGGAAAGCATAATACATTCTAATCGAAAACAAAAGGATTTCAAGGCACTTCGAAACATTTTACTACAGAATTCATTTGCGTTTCACATATATCAGTCTAATAGGATTTAAATTCAGAATTACAATTACACACCACAGACGTTAAATTAGGTCCAGGTTCAGTGACAAAGCTTATCTTGCCACTTTGGTTTCCAACGCAACGTTACGATTATATTTTGTTTCTCTAGGTGCGGTCTCGTAATTCTCTCAAATTGAATAACCGTAATAGCTTAAGCATGCGGGTACCTATACATTTATGAAGCTTCCTTGTTTTATTAATTACAGTACGATGCATACTAAAGAGGAATGCTTCAATCATCGTAATATTTTATTCTGGTGAAAAGTCATGCACTTGTCTCTATTATGTTGTTACAGAAACTATTTGTAGCGATGTATTTTTTTAGAATTAAACCTCATAAATGCAATGGATGTTCATAACCAAATATCAAAAAGGTAAATCCCCGCAATTACCATAAGAAAAAATAGCCAATTCCAAGCTCATACGCCCATACCCTTACTCAAACGTTTCCGAATGGCTTATCTTTGCAAATATTTTGTAATGACGCTGTTGAGATACTTCGGACCTTTCATTTCAGATGTAGAGACGTGCTCTTAATTTCAGTATAAAATTCATTGTTGTAAAAACGGAATCCCCCATTCTCGAAAAAATTTTCGCATTTTTAATAAGATACAACATTTGACAAGCATTCCTGAGCACGCTGCATACATTTTTTGAACAGTTGTCCAGAGAAGGTTTCGACCGTGGTTTCGGCCATGCACACATACTGAAAATAATGGGCCCGTATCAGTCACCTTGCAAAAGGAAACTTTTTTGGTGGAGTAGTGTAAATATTTAAATTTTGAAAAATCTCAAGAGCGTCGCTGTAGCAAATTTACTCCAAATTTAGCGTAGATTACAAAAATAATTAGTAGAATACAGAGCTGGGCAGAATACTTTCAAAAAAATAGCTAAACTAAATAGTAAATACTTTACACAAATAAAAGGTATTTGAATACTAAATACTTTTACGTCCAGCACAAGCGAATACTAGATATAGATACATTGAAAAGTATACAAATACGAAAATGATGACAGCGGCAATTGGTAAAAGACTTAGGCAAAAAACAGGAGAGTCCCGCTCAACCCAGTTTATTTACCAACGGATAGGTATAGAAATTCAAAAAGGCAAAGCCGAATGTTTTTTAGGAACTTTACCTTTTTTTAGTAATTCTTTTGATGAAATTTATTATGTTTTAAAACCCCGTTCTTATATGTAATTTGTTCTTGTTCTATTATTTTCATTAAACAATTTGTTCCTTTAAAAAAAAATACAAATACTTTAAATAAGTATTCAAATACTTTAGAATGTATTCGAATACTTTCAAAACTATTCGAATACTTTCAAAGGTATTCGAATACTTTGAAAAGTATTCGAATCAGTAAAAAGTATTTAAATACTTGTCACTCACATACATTAAAAATTTAAAATAGTATACTAGATAAAAATCTTAATACTACTTAAAAAATCACGTTATACTTTGTATGGGGTTAGCTTTTTTTATATTTCTATTGTTATATACAAATTTAAGAGGAGTAAAAGCGTATTATTATTATTATATTCTTATATAGGAGGTACCTACCAGGACCTTTCTTATACCAGTTATATTCTTAAGAATACGTGTACCATTTTTCAAAGCGATCGTACGTCGTGCACATGATACGTACGCCTTTCAGAAATTAATCCTAGCGATTTTGGAACAGATCCATTTTTTACTATCCGTTTGTCCGTGTGCATGATAGTTTGTTTAGAAACGTGCAATCGCTTTGAAAATTGGTACACATGGGATATAAGATATTGTTTTTAAGTTACGTAGACTATCGAGACAACAAGTTTCACTCCAGGATCGTTCGATATTCAGTTGTATCGGATTTTTATATTTGATTTTGTGACAATGGAAACTTTCGCTAAACATTTCTACATTGTTCTCAAATATTTGAATAACTTAAAAGTACTGCCTTTTTTTGAGGGCGGAAAAAATTTGTCTGAGATCGACCTGGAAAAAACATTTTCTTATAGAATATGGCCTGTAGAATCCATAATTTCAAACAGTTCCAAGATTGGGCTACTAGTTCAAAAGATACAGCCCTTTGAATTTTCTTTCAAAATTGGTTTCTAGTCTATAACTTTTGATTAAGAAGTCTAATCGAAAAAGTACGAATTGTTTTGGTTTCTACGCACCAAAATTAATAAGAAAAAGTGTTTTCCCGAGAAATTTTAGTGTAGTCGATTTTTGGTAAAAAAAGGAAGGTTACACACTGCCTTTTTTTGGGGCCCAAAAAAAAATTATCTCAGATCGACCGGGAAAAAACATTTTCTTATAGAATGTGGCTGTAGAATCCATAATTTCAAACAGTTTCAAGATTGGGCTACTAGTTCAAAAGTTACAGCCCTTTGAATTTTCTTTCGAAATTGGTTTCTAGTCTATAACTTTTGATTGAGAAGTCTTATCGAAAAAGTACGAATTGTTTTGGATTCTACGCACCAAAATTAATAAGAAAAAGTGTTTTCCCGAGAAATTTTGGTGTAGTCGATTTTTGGTAAAAAAAAAGGAAGGTTATACACTGCCTTTTTTTGAGGCCCGAAAAAAAAATTGTCTCAGATCGACCCGGAAAAAAAAGGAAGGTTAAGTATTCAAATACTATGCGAAGTATTCAAATACCTTGCGAAGTATTCGAATACTTTACGAAGTATCCAAATACTTTGCGACGTATTCGAATACTAAATATTTGTGAAAGTATATTTGAGTTGCAAATACAAATACTGCTTCCATAAAAGTATTTAATTACAAAGTATTTGAATACTTTAAAGAATTTGAATACTAAAAAGTATTTACAAAATTGAATACTGCCCAGCTCTGGTAGAATATGCCATTTAAAACACATAGCTATTTTAGCGAGTAGTATTTGCGAATGTATTTTTCCAATTGCATTCACTACCTGATAGCTGTCTATACCTATCCAATAGTTTATACAAACTTTAATTGTAACATGACCTTTAATTACATCCTACATTTTATCACCATTTCCATTCCAGCCATCTAGATTCTAGAGCAAAGTTACGTTTTGTCTCCTAGATTTTCATGGTAACTTCGTTTATTTCCCCAGTTTCTGCTTATAGAATCTTTTAGTTGTTAGTAGGAGGAATTGACGGAAGTAATTACCTACATTTTCATTTGTAATGCAAGCATTATCTTTTATCTCGAGATGCAAATTCAAAGGAGTAAGAAGCAATTTATTTTAAATTCATTAGCAGTCGCAAGCTCGAGAAATTTAAGCAAAAAGTGGGGCGATTCTTATTTCCTGCTTATAATGAACTTACACGTCCAATGTTTTATATTTTAAACCTTTCTTCAGCACATATACTGATGTTCACAAAGGGGCTAAATATTGGAACTATTTATTTGTATTTAAGGTTTTTTACGATTGACATTCTCTTTATCACAGCAAATGTATGTAGGGTATGTGAAATAGTGCAATAACAATAAAGTAACTCAATATATTTCTATACCTCTATAGCTCTGAAGTGATATACCATCTCTCTGAAATGACACCTTTTAAGGAATTTCTTTTCGAAGCGTTCATGAATTTATAT